GCATCTATCTATCCATCTCAGTCAGTTGCTTTATGACAATCTATCTATATATTATATATACACACACGCATATATATATATATACATATATTCATATATATATATATATATATATATATATTAACTGATTTAAAATATTGTTTTTCTTCGCTACACAGCATTAACCATGTTTCAAAAATGGAAGCTAAAAGCTTCGAATTTAAATTTGTAATTAAATCAAAAACATTAATTCCATTTTATCCTCAAGCGAATTTTGGAGTAACTCATTTTTTAAATTTACTGAGTTTGAAAAGCACAGAAAATTCATAATTCACTGTTTCCAAGGATACAGAGAAATCCAATCATTCAGACAAGGAGTGGTAGCGTGTTCATTTTTATTAACTTTTGTTGTATCAGTTATTAGTTGCGTTCGAAAAAGGGGTTACGTTTAGGTAGGGTAGGGATGTATTTTCAACGAATTCTGACATCCATGTCTTCTGGATTTTTTATTTTTAAATTTTTATTGTTAACGGCGAAAAGCAAAATTGTCCAAATCGTGTAAAAGCGAAATTGTTCAAATCATGTAACAGCAAAATTGTTTTGTCATGTGGACAAAATCGTTCAGCAAAATTGTCCAAATTATGTAACAATCATCCATTGTCCAAATCATTTTTTAAAAGCGAAAATTGTCCAAATCGTGTAAAAAAGCAAATTGTCCAAATTATGTAACAGCAAAATTGTCCAAATCATGTAACAGCAAAATTGCCCAAATCGTGTAAAGGCGAAATTGTCCAAATTATGTAACAGCGAAATTGTCCAAATCATGTAACAGCAAAATTGCCCAAATCGTGTAAAAGCGAAATTGTCCAAATTATGTAACAGCGAAATTGTCCAAATCATGTAACAGCTTAATCATCCATCCACAAAATATTTAATATCTAAAACAAAATACTAAACTAATTGAGTTTTTTTTCCCCCAGGTTTTCAGATAAGACGTTTAATCATTTTGACTCTATTTTTCGTAAGAATCACTGAAAATCCCTTTGAGTTATTCAGCTAGTCAGAGAACAGGTTAAAACCATTTTGCGTCAGCCCCACTATGTCTTCCCAACAGAGCAATGACGAGAGAAACAAAAAAGGTCCATTCAGGCCTTCAGTAATGGTACCAACATTCATACTCTGACTTCCATCTTCAAAGTCCGTTCAAGAAGCATCAAGGGAACGGTGAATAAGTTTGAAAAAGAGGTGGACATTAGAGAAGAAAACTGGATCAGGTGACAACAGATAGAGGGATCATCATTTCAACTTAGAGTTAAAGAGATCAATTTAAAAAAAGATGAAACTTCATAAGACGTTTGGAATATGAGAGAGGAGTTTCAGACATGACAGTCCAAACAGCGGTGAAAAAAAAAAATTGAAAATGAAATGAAATTAGTTTTTGTTTATGTGGGTCTCCTTGTTAATCTAGGACAGATCGGGTTGTGATCCGGGCTTGAGGCATTCGGATATCTGGTCACACTGAAGAACTGACTAAAAATGTTACTGTCTGCAAATTAAATATATATATATATATATATATATATATATATATATATATATATATATATATAAATGAAGATGGATAAATTGGAGTCTAAATTATGCAAAAATGAAAATAACACCGACATCTCATTTTAACAGATATATTTTACCAAATTTAAACCAAAAAATATCTTGAAATACTAAATTTTCTGTATTATTCAATAAAATAGCCCTTTTTTCTTCAACCACGGTCTCCAGATAACTTCGAAATCTCCTGCAACTTTTCTGGACGGTCTCCTTTTTTAATTTGATGAATGCTGCATATATATATATATATATATATAGTTTATATTTGGTGTTATAAAGAGTTTTGTTGGTCTTGTCACTCAACTGTTTATTGATAATAATCAAGGCGGTTTGCTGTCTTGGGACTTGACCCAGGGGATGTACCTCCTCAGGGCACAAGATGTAAAAAGCGTCTGAACCTTGTGAAAAGACGAATGGAAAAAACAACGTCGCCATTAAACTATGGAATAAAACACCTTCGTAATCACCATTAGACTCATCTAACTCTTTCCGAATCCTCTGCACTGTCCTCAGATTGATTCCTAAAAACTTTAACCACACATAATAATCATTTAAAATAGTTTTCCGAGACACAGCAGGATTCTATTTTATATTTATATACAAGAGAAAAATTATTGGTTTTTTTAATTTTTTTTTAGCTTAGGAACGCTCACAGTTTCAAAAATTAAAATTAAACCAATAAACATTTGTCTTTTATATAAATACTTATTTATAAATAGATTTTTGGCATTTGCCCAGATAAAGTCATACAGAGGACATAAATATATCGTCTAAGAAAAATTTCCTTTTATCTTTATTCATATTATTCTTTTATAGATATACTCTATCTAAATATAAACACACACACACACACACACACACACACACACACACATACATATATATATATATAATATATATATATATATATATATATATATATATATATATATATATATATATATTTTGAACAATAAAAAATATTAAAAAATTAAAATCTTCAGACACACTGGGTTGTAGATTAATATTCTTTCGTTTTTTATTATTATTATTTCATTTAGATTCCTCGACTAGTTTCGGCCAAAATGGCCATCATCAGGAGAAAAATATTTCTGCTTGCTGGTAGCAGTGAACTTTAGAAATGAATGTCTTGATGGAGAAAATGAACTTTTGTTTGTATTTTTTTTTTGTTTTTTTTTTTTTATATATATATATATATATATATATATATATATATATATATATATAATAGGATAATGGGTAAATTTTCGACATTTGAGATTTTGAATTTCGCGCATGCGCGTTGTTTTTCTATGATTTTGTCAACTGCACAGAAGAGTAAGGTCAGTTGGGCACCGTCTGTAAGGAAAAGAGCACCATGGTGCAATTCACTCTTCCAGAAATTTACTGCTTGGCATTAACGTCGGAGGCTCCAATACGAACAGTTCAGAGTGTTTGGGTGTCAATCTGAGGACAATGCTGAGGATTCGGAACGAGTTTGATGAGTCTCATGGTGATGACGAAGATATTTGAAGTGATCACTAATGATGGCGACGTTATGCCTCTATTCATTTTCCCACAAACACTGAGGCCTGCATCAAGTCTCATGGTGATTACAATGGTAGGACAGATTTTTGCATAATTTAAACGACAATTTATCCATCTTCACCCTATTAATATATATATATATATATATATATATATATATATATATATATAAGAAATGGACAAGTCCGACAATTTATTTCTTCGAAAGAAATACATTTTTATGTTTAACGTTCTTTTATAGATACAAGTATTTAAAACAGGAAATGCTCTGTTTATAATAAATATTCGTTAAATAACAGGATTTAACCTGCATCCTGTCAAAAGACGAATATTTTCTATGAAAAATATTCGACATTCAGGCCGGTAAAACCTATTTAATACTGTTTATTTCAAAACAGAGCATTTACTTAATTACTTTTATCTATAAAAAGAATTTAAATATAAAATGTAGCGCTAATAAATATATATATATATATATATATGTAATTCATTAAAACAGTACTGTTTCGCAGTTCTTCAGTGTGATCAGACATCCGAATGCCTCAAGCACGGATCAAAACCCAACCAATTTGATATTAGTCAGATTTTTTACCACTGAGTTATCTTCATTCGACAGAGAGAAACAGCTAAATCTAGCATATTGTTTATACGAATATAAACAAATGCCAATCAACCGAAGTGTTCCAATTCATTACTCCAAAGTTATATTATCGAAGACAAGAGAAGAAGAGGGAAGCGACTGGTAAAATATTTGACAAGTTAGAACAAAAAGACGCCTAGAAAAATACCACCTAAAAAAAAGTGCGATTGTAAAAGAAAATGCTCTGCTGGGAGCACCAATAGACAGGAAACTGTGGGGATCCTAAACCCTTAAGGAACGTTGCGTAACCATACACACAGAGGTAGTTCGATCATGAACTTTTGCGCACTTTTTTGGCCTTGTGTCAAACTAGACTATATGCCTTGAAGATAAATCAATGACGTTCCGCGGCCATTTCGTTTTTTTTTTTTTGTTTTTTTTTTGTTTTTTTTGTTTTTGTTTTGGCGCTTTACAAATATGGCGGAACATTGTTCAAAGGACATTTTACTGAATGTTATTGTTGACGCGGGAAGGTGAAATCAAATGTTTGATAGGTTTTATGATTGCACACACACGCACATACATACATACATAAATACATATATATATATATATATATATATATATATAAAAGAAAAAATTGCAAACCATTATTTATAACTCCTGGCTTATTCCTCTATGACTTTGATAGCTTTCTGCTGAATTTGTCGTAAAACGTACTCCTTTATGAATATTCGGATCATTTATATTCATATCGTAGTTTTTTTTCCTTTTTATTTTTTTATTAATTTTTTTGGCAATATTTCTTCTTCTTCTTTTTCTTCTTTTTCTTCCTCTTTTAGCTTTCGTTAATCGGTTTATTTTCGTTTCAAATTATTTTCACCATTCTTTCATTGCTAATAGAAACAATTTCTCAGGAGTGGTGGGTTTTGTTTGTTCTTTGAAAAGCAAATGAAGGAAGAAAGGATGGAAGACAGCAATAAAAAAAGGAAGAAAGTATGAAAGAAAACTGAAAAGCCAAAAATTCGAAAGAAAGAAAGAAAGAAAAAGAAAGAAAGAAAAAAGAAAGAAAAAAAAAAAAAAAAAAAAAAAAAAAAAAAAAAAGAAAACACGAAAGATAAAAAAAAAAGAAAGAATTAAAAAAAAGAAAACAAAGAAAAACAAAAATTTTGAATGAAAGATTGAAAGTAAAAACAATAGAAAGAAAGAAAAAAAAAAAAAAAAAAAGAAAATATAAAAAAAAGAATGAAAAAATTTTTTTGAAAGAAAAGAAAAGATAAAAAATAAAAAGAAGGAAAGACGAAAATCAAAATTCAAAAGGAAAAAAATTCTTTAAAGAAAGAAAAAGAAAAAAAGAAAAGAAAGAAAGAAAGAAAAGAAAAAAAAAGAAAGAAAGAAAGAAAGAAGAAAGAAAGAATATAAAAATGCTAAGAAGGAAGAAAAAAATCGCAAAAGAAAAAACAGATAAAGAAGACGAAGAAGGGAAAAAAAGAAAGAAAGAAAGAAAGAAAGAAAGAAAGAAAGAAAGAAAGAAAGAAAGAAAGGAATGCGTAAAAGAAGAAGGAAGACGAAATTTTTTCGCAAAAAGGAACAAACAAAAAACAGACGAAGGAGGGAAAAGAAAGAAAGAAAGAAAGAAAGAAAGAAAGAAAAAGAAAGAAAGAAAAAAAAGAAAGAAAATTAAGTATATAAAATGCTAAGAAGGAAGACGAAAGGTTTTTTTAAAAAACAAATAAAGAAGTCAAAGGGAGGGAAAAGAAAAGAAAGAAAATAAAGAAAGAAAGAAAGAAAGAAAAAAGGGAAGAAATAAAATGCTAAGAAGGGAAGAAAAAGGTCGCAAAAGGAACAAACAAATAAAGAAGACTTCTAAATAAGAAAGAAAAGAAAGAAAGAAAAATTTTGTAGAAAGAAAGAAAAACGTTTTTAACTACATAAAGATAACGAGGAAAGGCATATACAATGTAGAAATAAATAAAGAAAGAAAAAAGAAAGAAAAAAAAAAAAAAAAAGAGGTAAGAACTAACATAGACATTAAAGAATGAAAAAGACAGCAACGCAAATGTAGAAAGAAAGAAAGAAAGAAAGAAAGAAAGAAAGAAAGATTAGAAGACCCCCAAAAAAGAAAGACTGGAATATTATGAAATGAGAATAAGAAAGAAAGAAAGAAAGAAAGAAAGAAAGAAAAAAACGTTATTAACTACATAAAAATAAAGAGGAAAGGCAGCAACACAATGTAGAAAGAAAGAAAGAAAGAAAGAAACAAAGAAACAAAGAAACAAAGAAAGAAAAGAGAAAAAGAGGTAAGTAATTACATAGACATTAAAGAATGAAAAGACAACAACGCAATGTATAAAGAAAGAAAGAAATAAAAAAGCGAGAATATAATGTAGAAATAAAGAAAGAAAGAAAGAAAGAAAAGACGTTATTAACTACATAAAGATAAAAGAGGAAAGGCACCAATACAATGTAGAAATAAAGAAAGAAAGAAAGAAAGAAAGAAAGAAAAGAGAAAAAGGGGTAAGTAACTACATAGACATTAAAGAATGAAAAGACAGCAACGCAATGTAGAAAGAAAGAAAGAAAGAAAGGAAGACGAGAATATTATATAATGTACAAAGAAAGAAAGAAAACGAAACGAAACGAAAGAACGTGAGCCACGTTTACAATAACTGACGCCGAACATTCTTATGACGTCGATGGCAGGCCCAAAATGGCGGGTGACACTTGTGCTGTCGAGACGATGAACGATCCTTTTCTTTCGAATTGAATTCAT